GGTATGTCTGCGCGAGGATCAATCGATGGCCTATTTTTCTTGTTGTGATGCGTTGGTCATTCGGTTTTCTTTTGGGTTTGAGTAGTATTTTTGTTTGTTTGCAAATTAGAAAGTTCGAGGTCAACGTCCGAAGTTCGATTGAGAAGCTTGGTTCTGTAAAGTGGATGCGGAAAACACGGTGCGTGTTTGTGAATTCGAAATGACCCATTCAAAGCTTCGACCTCGGGTTTTTTCTGTCGAAGTTACGTGTTAAATAAAGTGTGAGCAGAAAGAAGTGATTGGAATAAAATAGCACTGTTGAATTAATCTTACATGCGTCCACCTGCATCCTTGACGAGTTCGCAGCTTTGTGGGATAGTCTGGTGTCCAGAAGGTCAAATGTTCGTCAATTCTTTAAAAATCCAAATAAAGGAGCTATCTGGTTTATGCATCAACACGATAAGACGATTGCATTTTCCGTCATGAATAGAATTTTATTTCAAGTTTTGATTTTTGACTGAGTATATTCCCGAAGTCCGTTTTTGTCTGAAATCTAATCGTGGTGTTCGCGTGATCTCGTGATCGTACCGCCATACTGTAGCTGCATGGATGTTCAGTGGTTTTGGGGTCAAATTTTCTGTTCTCCCTGCTATATGAGGCACCTTTTTGTAATGCCTTCTCGAATTAATCATTTTGAAACATCCTTGAAGTATTTTCTGCCGAATCTGATGCTCTTCTTCATTCGTTCCATCGCTCATGAAATGAAGAACTGCCCTGATATTTCTACTGCGCGGTAATCGTTGAACCTGTTCAATTTGAGAAGGCTTAGTGATTGCTATGTGAGGGTCAGTCTACGTACTGTGCACGTCTTGACCACGTGTCAAGATTTTATTCTTGTGAAATGAGAAAAAATTAAGTTTCCCTGAGTGACGGACATTTTCTGCATCACGAGGCAAGAAATTCCAGTACCTTCCACGCGTCGCTTGGCAACTCAGCCGCATTCGCAGCTCACTAGTGCCTGCCCTTTTATTTGATTCATTAATTAAACAAGTGTGACACGCTTCGCTGTGTGAATGCGTCCTTGCAATTGGATCTGTCATTTGTGATGCAGAAGAGAATGTATTCCCGTGTAGCCTGTTTGTGAGTTGTCACGTGACCCGAGTTCCGAGTGGAAATAGGAGTGGTGTGAAGTGCCTTTGCTGGAAGCTGTCTGCATATTTCATCCTAGCTTGCGAGTACCATCTTCTGAAACGATTTACATGCTTATGAAGTACAGTACGGTATCCGGTTCCGCGTGTAACGTGCGCGGTAGTTTGTTGTTCAGTAAAGTATCCCCTCACGGAGCGACCTCTAGCAAACAACTGACAGAAACAACTAATGGTAAAACTGACCTAACAAGAATTAACATGGAGTGTGGAGCTCCGGTGCGACTGGACTTCGAGCAGCGATACCGCTGGAAATCCGCATTTCGACATGAGCCGTTGACCTGATCAGATCTCACGATGCACATTATTGTTGTGCAGTTGTGTGATGTGAACGTCGTATGGTAGTTTTGAAAAGTCATTGAGGATTATTCTAAGGACTTCTTTACTGTTCTCTGGATTTGTTTTTCCATTTAGCTGGAGGTTAAATCGGAAAAATGAGCATCGGTTGGCCGAATACAAATGCTTGAAAATTGATAACTGAGCTCGCAGTGTATCGAAATCTTTGGGAAACCCCGAATAACGTATGTCGAACCTCCTTTAAGACGAAAACCATCATATTTTCAAATTTTTTTCAAATCCGTGTGTGAATTCCCGTAAAGACAGTTCATGAAAAACCTCCCTAACTCGAAGGCTTTCCTCCTCAAACGTCCAAAACTGGAATTTTACGATTGTCTTTTGGCTATTTATTTATCGACACAGGAAAGAAAAAAGCAGCAAAAATGTAACGTATTATATTTTTCGGCAAATAAACCATTTCCTCCAAGTTCAGCGTCCAGTCAACTCACTCAAGAAGCAATTTCAAACTTAGATTATTACCAATTTCCTGTAATTATTCTTTCTTTCCCTAAGTACAAATGCTTGTGTTGTTTGGTTTCCTTGAAAAGGTGCTACTTCGGCTACCGATGCTCTTATTTTCAGGAGCTTTTTGATGCATGAAGTTTTTAATTGTACTGTAGAATGTAGATCATGCTGTGAAGAGAAAATGAAACTGCGCTGAGTTGATTTCATTGCGAGTAGGAGTAATTTCCTGGAACCATTAAATGTTGATCCGAGTACCGTACTTTGAAATTTTCTCCTACCATCCCTTGTGTATAGTTGTGGCTGTTGGCGAGGAAGTGGAATCGGTTGTTTAGTTGAAGGCCTGAACTGTAATGTGCATATCTTTCGTGTTCTTCGTGCTTTTTGAACGGAAATGGTGCATTTTTCAGTGTGTATCAACTGTCGCAGGATGATGTAATGGGACGCCCATTTATGCTCGTTGTAATTTTGACGTTGATGATCTGTAATCGCAATTTTCGTCTCTTTTGTACCTCACCTTAGTTGTGACGAAAGTGATCGAAAAAAAAGCCAGAGAATCAGAGACGCGTTTAGTCTCGGCGAAGGTATCTTTGAGGTCAAAAGTGTTCACGAGAAGCGGACGAATCGTGGTGCGAGTTGACATGTGATGCTCGGATCCGTGTTGTGGTGAAGTGTTGGGATCGCTTGCGAGAAGTGAACCCGTGCCATGGGCGCGAACATGGGCAAGGGGAATTCGTTGTTGGACTCGTTGCCTTCGGGCGAAGGCACGTTGCACATTGTGATGCTCGGACTGGACTCGGCCGGCAAAACCACTGCCCTGTACCGACTCAAGTTTGATCAGTACCTCAACACCGTGCCGACGATTGGGTTCAATTGCGAGAAAATCCGAGGCACTACCGGGAAGGCAAAAGGCATCAGTTTCTTGGTGTGGGACGTTGGCGGGCAGGAGAAGCTCCGACCACTTTGGAAGAGTTACACAAGGTTTGTTATATCATTGTCGTATTTTCTCATCACTAGCATATGCTAGTCAAATTTCGAAGAACCAGCGAAAAAAATTGATTTAGAGAGTTTCCGAGTAAAGCATGTGCGCTGAGGGAAAGAAAAAAAATTCCGCGAAATTAAATTTGGTAAGTATTCTAGGCTTGAAATTGCGTCTTAAATTAGTTGGCTGGATGCTGAACTTGGATGCAAGGGTTTATTTCCCACATTAACCTTCTGCTTAATTTGAAAGCACATCCTTATATAGTATTTTTATTGTTTCTCTCTTTCCTGTGTCGATGAAATAATGACGAAATGAGCTCCAGAAAATTCGGTTTTTCGAGGTTAAAGGAGGAAAGCTTTCAAGTTTGAAAGGTTCTTGATACATTTATCCTAGGGGAACTCGGACTGGGATTTGAAAAAGATTTGAAATAGCGAAGATCGATTTATCGAAGTTCAACTACATTTATTTATTTACTTCCAACATTTTTGCTCTATTTCTTACCCGGGTAAATCGAGGTTCTTTATTCAAAACCTACGTTGCTCGTGTTTACAACTTTCACAAACTTAGTGTCACCAACATCAGGATGTCGTTTGATTTTAAGCAGATGTCAGTTGAATCTTGTTCCATTTTATCAACCTTGGTTTTTTCATGCTAATTGGTTTGGAGTAGGTTGATAAGGATTTAAAATAGTCGGATACATTTAAAGTTGGATTGATTCGAGTTCATTGAGTACTGTTCGATTTCCATCTTTCTTGTCATCGGATTGAATTTCCATCTTTGCAATCAAATGAATGCTTTTTTAGTTTGAAATTATTCTGATGAATTTTGTTGTACAGCATTGTACGTCAGTTTTATTGTTATTCGTGGTTTTGTTATTCGTTGGAGCGACACCTGCCTTGTATTCCTGTAGGCTAAAATAAGCGAAAGTGCGAAAACAAAATTCTGAGCTTTCTAGTTTTCTACGCCCTGAAAGTTTCTCATCCGGCGCTTATTGTTTCCGCGATGAATACATGGATTGATTTTTCTGTTGCGAAGTGCGTGTCTGAACGATACATTTTGTAATTTCGTACAATTCATTTCTATAAACGATGAACAAAAAGTAATAGGAAGATACTGAATATGAATACCCGAATTTTTTCCCTCCAGGATTCTCATGTTTTAAGACATTGATGGATGATGAGTTTTATCAAACTGAAGCAGATTCTCTGCAGTTTAAGATTGGGAATATTTTTTTTTTTATCGGAAGATCCTTTTTCTGTGACTTCGCCAACTCAATAATTCGAGGTCATGTTCGGTGGTGTCTTTTAAATGCGATTGTCATCTTGATCGAGATGTGGGTGTTTAAGTAGCCGCAATATTACGGAAATTAGTGACTTGATAATCGTAATGATTAGTTCAGATATTTCTAACCGAAAGGATTTTCTAAATATTTAGATTGTATGGTGGTTTTCTGACTTTTGAAAGTTTATGACTGATGGTTCGACTCGACCTGTTTTTCATTATATCTTATATTACTGATTGCTGGTGAAAATTGGAACAGACACATATAGAAAAAAGCTTCTTTTGATCCATCAAGAACAAGGACTCAAGGAGTGTCAGTTGAATGTCTGCGTGTGCATCGTGAATTTGGATGCAAATTTATGTCAAACATGCAGATGAACGTACTTGAACTGCAGTAAATTCAATTTCATTTGTACAAAACCATTCTTGAAAATATCGGAGGGCGTATCCTTTTTAACCTGTACCTTTTTCAATTGATGTAAATTCTTGTGTTGCCTCAATCTCAAACGGGAATTCAGCCGTCCGACTCTTGTCGTTCAGTCTCGTTGAAAACCATCAAAACGGAATGAAATTCATGTGACACCTATCCAACCGGAAGTGAACATCACCTGCATTCAGATAGATATTTACTCGAAATATTGTGCGACTCGCCTTTTTTTCGAAAATTTGTTATTTCAAATGTTTGGTGCTTTTACCGTATGTCCGTATTTGAGTGTTGTAATTCTTGTCTCCTTTTACATTCTAAGTACTGTATTTTTTTATTTTAAAGGAAGACTGATAGTACCTCATAAGCTTCAAAACGAAGCCATTTCAGGAGCATGAATGGACAGTACGATGATTTAAACTCAGTTGAACAGATCCTTATCCACGACTCTATGTCAATGCAACGGACGTTAAAAAGTGAGAATTTCCGTGATAAGTTTTTGTAGACTTCAATTTGAAGACAAGATTCGAGACTTCTGTGAGTGTGAAGGAATTTATGGAACTTATCGAGGTTGAAAAGACATCTTACTTTCGCAGTCAAACTGGGTTTTCGTTCCTATGTAAAATTGGCTAAACTTCTGCATTCATGTATTCAATCGTGTTTTGTTGAATGTGTGCTCCAATATGAAACACGCTGACTGAGCTCCTGTCTCATTATTGTTGCTCTGTGGCCAATTGTAGATGTTGCAGTATCGTAAAGCAATTTATTGATCAAAATTTTTTTTTATTCAATATTTTTCCAGATGCACGGACGGGATTGTGTTTGTGCTCGACAGCGTAGACTCCGAGCGCATGGAGGAGGCGAAACTGGAGCTGGCGCGAACAGCCAAATCTCCGGACAACGCCGGGGTTCCCATCCTAGTCCTGGCCAACAAACAGGACCTGCCTGGGGCCAAGGACCCCCAGGAAATTGAAAAGGCCCTGGGCCTACACGAACTGTCGCAGCAACATTTTTACCACGTGCAACCCGCTTGCGCCATCATCGGCGACGGCCTCGACGAAGGCCTAGACGTGCTTTACGAGATGATACTCAAAAAGCGCAAACTCTGCAAGCAGACGAAAGGGAAAAAGCCGCGGTGAATTTCCTCAACCATTTCTTTTTTTTTGTTGTGTTTTATTTTTTACCACAGTGAGAAGGGTATCGCAAAAAATATATAAGATGTCGGGGCACACTTGAGATGCTTCAAGATTGTTCTAAGCGAAAATCAATTCTGTTGGTTTTTTTTTCTTTCTCTGTGGTCGGAATGAAAGAAAATGGGAGGAAAAGCACGAGCGCCAGTTTTTCGAGGCTGTGAAGAGTTTGTGTGGCGAAGAGTGTGTCGTACCGTTTTGCGATGTGAGGGATTTTTGTTTTGTTTTGTTTCCTAACTTGGTGTTCCTTGTTGCGAGTAATCGATCATTTTTTAATGCTTTGTTCCCGTAAGATAAGTCGGAAAGCCTTTTTCTGAAGTTTTGTAAGTCCAAAAGTACTGTATTAATTGTGTCATGCGAGCGGGGTTTTCTCCAAGACTAATCAACGTAAGTCTCGTTTCAGTGAATTTTAGTTGAAGAATTTACCAAGGGATGAAATCAAGTTGCATTTGAAATGCATCGAAGAAACTTGATGAATTTTAGAACTTCATTAAACGAACTGTCTTATAGATACAGTATTGCTAAATAATCGTTTCTGTTAGTGGAAAGATACATTTTACTGCTGAACGTTTCCTTCGAATGATTTTCGCTGGAGTTTTCGGAGTGAATCTCGAGATTTTGTTGGTTTAAATATTAAATCTCGTTACCTGCAATATTCAGTGGAATTATGGTTAATTTTAATGAGAAGATATTTTGGTGGCAGGTTCACGTTGAGAAGAAAATTCTATTCTACGAATCCCGGAAATTCCAAGGTTTTCAGAAGGAATTTCGTTGCATTGTTCTCGTAGAAAATCGAAATTCCTGTGGGATTTTCCTCGCAGCGTGTCTTCTGTTGTGAAAGTAAGTTTGATTTCTTCTTCTGCTTATCCGTGATATCTTTTTCTGCGTATCATCAGTTGGTTTTTCTTTGTCCAGAACCTGACATACGGGATTTTTACGTCTCGCTTATAGATAAGAATTAGGTACAGAACAAAAGATGAGGAAAATGGAACGTAATTTCCTGTCTTTCGAAGATGCTTGTGGAACTTTCGAAGCATCTGAGATGGAGTTTATGCGCGTCTGGCGATTTACTGTCCTTCGATCGACTTCCGAGAATTTCTTCTTTTGTTTTATTTATCGAAGACTGTGATCACATTTGAGACGAAACTTCTTGGTTCGTTTTTTTTTAATATTTTTCCCTTGACATCCATCCCTCACGTCGCAAGTGTGGGTTGACAACCGACGTCACGAACTCTACGATTTTTGTGTGTTTGCGCGCCCACGTGTTTGTGTATGCCTGTTGGTGTTCTCCGCATTTTTAAAATTTTCCACTTGAAGAATATTCCGCAGATTACAAAATTTGATGGGAAGCGAATGATTTCTGTCATCCTGCCATCTAGAAAATTCATGAAAAAAAGGTGGACTTCCGGGATTTTGTAGTTGCGGGATGATTTTCTCGTGGGAAACCCCGTCGTCTTGTTCTAAATATTATCTTCATCTGTTTGTTTCTTGTGTTATTTGGGGGGTGAGATTTTTTCTTCTTTTTGTTTGATCCCTTTTTCTGCTCCTGTGGATCGCGAAAGTCAACCGAGATCTAGTCACGGTTTTATTGCTGTTATTTTTGATATTTCCGACGTCCCGAAAGTCCCGACTTTCTCTAATGACAGTGTCTGTGTCTCTTTTGAATTCGATCCGCGGCCCTGGATGAGATTTATTGCGGGATATTATGTGATTAGTCCGTCTGATCGGTGCGTGTGTGTTCCGAATTCTTTCGATTATTTTTTCTTTTTTTTTTTAAATCAGCTTTTATGATCGAGTTTTTTTCCCTCACCCGTGAGAATTTTATCGGAATTTTTCCCTCTTTCGAATCAGTCCCGAAATCAACCGCAAGCCATGGACTTCGACTAACCGAGTTTCGGATATCCAAGAATTATATTTCAGACCGTTCAAGTGTACGGGGTTTAACGATCAGTTTTAAGCCTTTAGACGCATTCACAATACCTAAAAATATCGAACAGCATTTTTAGGGATTCCCTATATTAGAAATTTGGAATTCTCGTTTCGGGAACTTAAAAATTCCGAAGAAACAAATAAGAATAACTTGAAAGTATTGTTTTACTCTAGGCTGTTCTCATTTTGTTTGTAAGGAGAAGCAATTGAAATAATTGAATATTGACCTAAAAATTTTCTCGTGGAAATACATCAAGACTGCTTCGGAAAGAAAAGGTTTCGAAATGAAAATTCCCTCGATTTCTCTTAACGTTCTCAAATTTCCGAAAAATGGCCGAGTGCATCTTTCTTGAAAATTTTCTGAAGATGAAATCTTTTTTGTTTGTTTCATAGTTGATCGAAAAAAATGAATGAATTCCTAGTTCGTAAATTATTTTCCTCGCGAAAGAAATGCTGAAAAGAAATCTTTACGTTTTGGCATCTGGTGTCAGAATTCTCCTATTCGAAATATATCAGCAGTGTCTTAAGACATGGTCAGAAGTTTTTAAAAATCGCTCAATTCTTGGGTTCACGATTCTAATGAAAACGAATGTCAAGGATAAATAAAAATCCCTTTTCAACTCTCAATCAGAATGCTTGGTGAGAAGGTAATTTGTTCCACCCCGAGCACGTCTCCTTTTGAAACGCGTGGCCACCGCAGCTTTTGAGTTTGAGGAGGCCAGGTGTTGAAGGTCTTCATGCCCCTTCCCTCCCCCCAACAAAAAAAAAAAACCCCTCTCGGGCTTTTTCTGAATGAATTCTGCATCTGTCTTGGGCAAGGAAAGAACGGGTTTCACCTTCTCTATTGTCATTTAAATAAAAGAAAAGGAAAAAAACTGAACCTGTGTCCCACGACCTTGTGTGTAACGCTACAGGCCGAAAACGGACAAGTTTTTGTGCAAATTGCTGGAAAATTAAGCGACGTGGTTATTTTCTGCTGGATTAGAATGCGTCAGTCACTGTGCTAAGCTGATTAATCGCGTAATTTTTTTTTAATATCATGGGCTTTCCTGGTGAAGCTTCGAGTTGATTTCGGAAATGATAACACTTACGCCGTGTGTTCGCTTCGTTTTTTTGTTTGTTTTGTGAAAATCAGGGCCGCTGGTCGAATTTTATTTTCTATTCGTTCTTTAAGACGAAATAATCAAATATTGAAGGGAGGGAAAAAATTAAAGCTCAGCGACCTGAGTCATCGACCATTTCAGATACGTATAATCCCCCCCCCCCTCGCATTTTTGCTTGGTCTGGAGAAGGGGAAAAGCCGAAATTATGGCGACTGTGATGTCACGGAATGGAAAGAACCGACTGAGTCGAAGTTCCGGCTTCATCACCAAGGCCAAAAAAAAAGAGCACGGATTCTGTGGTTATTTTTCTCCTCGGTCCTGCGAATTCTCGCCGAAACCCCCAGGTTTTATTTGTGCTCGATACACTCTGATGTGTGTTTTTCTTTCTTTTTTTTCTGCTCTCGAGTTTGTATTTCCTTGTGCGAGACGTCGTGGAAATTGATAAAAAGGAAGTGATAAAAAATGGTGAAAAGGAAAAAAAATATTGTTTGTCCTGATTTATTTTCTGTGCGTGGGACTGGAAAAAGATTTCTCAGCAGGTTTTTGAAGCATGAGAATGCTTGTCTCAATCCTTCACTGCGATGTCCAATTTCAACACAAAGACACCAACTGGAGGAAGCAGGTCTTCTTCATTCAGATAATTCGAAATTGAACAATTTATAAAACTGGAAGAAGGTGGAAATTTTTCTATTGGCACATTTTACGAAATTTCCAGTTATACCAGTAATTCCACGTTCAATCATTTGCCTTACTCTTCGCTTTTTTTTCCTGGAAAAATCTGACCCAAAAAGCAGTGATGGCATCTTACTTGAGTACCAACTTTCTCTGAAAATTTTCACAATTTCTTGAGCCACATGCTTGGATAGTGCTAAAGATAAAAAATGAAACAAAAGGAAGGTACTGTACAATAAATACAATGTATTTACCTTATTTACTCCAGTACCACCTGCACCTTTTTTCCCAAATTTCAGAAGAAAAAAAGGGCGTGCATCATAAGCAGGTACAAAATTTTCAAGAAGTTTTAGGAAGTTATGTGTGCATTATACTTAATTATAATGGAGAAATTTGGAACAAGTGTAAGAAGAAAACATTTTTGTTCTGAAAAAGTTGAAAATTGATCAGATTTTTGTTCAATTCACACGTGAAGTCAAATTTTTTGTTTTTATTTGTGAAATTGTATGGTTTTAGATTCACTAAAATTGGGGTGCGCGTCTTACTTGGGGATAAGATTTTTTCAAAATTTTCAACTGAGAAACCCCTGTGCGTGCCTTACTCAAGGGTGCATTGTACTCAAGTAACTGTGATGTCACGGTGTGATGTCATATGAAATATGGTAATATCACAAAAATATCTCTATAAAATAAAAATAAAAACTGTTTTGTGTTTTCAGTGTAAAATTTAAAATTGATTATCATGCAATTGAAATACCCCTGATAAGCCTGAGCCATTGACTTTTTCAATTCTAAAAAAAGTAGCTCATTTTCTTTATTTGGTTGAAAAATTCCAACAAGGTCATCTCTTAACCTGCTTGACATTCAAGCATTTTTTTTACATGTTAGTTCCATTGATATACAGGTACTTCCATGATTTGAGTCACTATCTTCACCCCGGAAAAATGTTACCATGATATATATTCCTTGAATTGATCTTTTCTGGAGTGGGTACTCACTGTGGTCAGCTTTGAAGAAAAAAAGATAAATCCCTTGCTCTTTTTCTTGGTATACTGTATTTCCATGCTTGCGTTTTGCAAAAGTGTGAACAGGACAGATTCCTGGCATTTTTCCCTGCCCCCCGAGTATTCCAATATTGGCGCTGAGACTTGTTTGCGTCTGACTGCTGCATGTCGGATGAGACGTTCGTTTCTTACATGCTTCTTCCAGAGCTGAGTGCGAGGCCTATTTTCGTCCCTCGTGCTCCCCCGTGCAGAAATTCCGCGGTGATGAGTGACTGACTAACCGGAACTCTTGACACAGTTCAGAAAGAAGGAAATTTATGCGGAATTTCTGGAGTCATAATGAAGGAAAAAAGTTGAGCTCCTGTCTTTCTTTTCTACAGCTACTGTGTGTAGATAAGTAAATGGAAGATCGTGGTTTGGTGGGAGTCATGCAAAGTTGCTTCTGAGTGTATCTGGTGATGTTTGAATTTATTATGGTCTACAACAACAGAGGCGAAACGAGTTTCTGTTCCTTCATTTAGAGACAGAATTTCGTCTGCACTTCGTTTTTCGAGTGGTGAAATACAATTTCGAGAAGGATACGTTTTTGCAGTGTTTTACCGTCTTTCAGATTAGAGAAATGAACTAATTTTCTTCCGAACAGTGCAAGCGGCCCCCCTTATTACTTTATTTTCCAAAATATTGTCTTGTCAAATTTCATTCTGAAACCTTTTGCCAGTTTTTTCCACCCCGTAGTTTGACCGAAAATTTTAAATTGAAAGAATAAGTTGTGCCAAAAGTCAAAACTCAAAAGAGGTAATTATTGTACTTTGCCTAACCATGCATGGGATGAAGTAGGTGTGCTATAGTATGTTGTAACACTGCACGATTTGTTTCAGAAAAGAGAAAACTGACTCAAATACAGGTGAAGTGTCTCTACAATGACCAAATAATTGTTTTAGAGAGAATTTTGTTGTAGAGAACCAGTATAATATGGGGAGAGAACCCTATGGGGTCAAATAAAAAAAAAATTGTGTGCAAAGAAATTTTTGGTAGACAAGATTGTTGTAGAGAGAGTCCACCTTGTATATGTAAAGTGTAAAAAGTAAAGCTCTCAAAATATACAGTTGAACCTCCATAAGTCAAAATTTAAAGGACCAGGAAAATATTCGACTTTGGGAGATTTTAAAATAAGGAACGAATCATTTTTGCTGCAAGGATGTATACAAAATTGCAGGAAATTGTAAATCAGGACATTCTGGGCCTAAACTTGCTTCCTAACAAGTTTACATCTTGCTGAACTTGGATGCAGGAGTTCATTTGCTTGATTAGTCTCTCACTTCCTTTTGAGATGCATAAAATCATTTGTTTCATTGATTTTCTCTTTTGTATTTCAAGGAAATAGTAACCAAAACACCTAAAAAATTCAACGTACAGAGGTTTGGGAGAAGAAGACTTCAAGGTAGAGAGTTTTCAGTGCATTGTTTCTTAGGGTATTCAGACTGGGACTTGAAAATAATTCAAGTTATACTGTAGAGGTATTTGACTTAGGGAGGTTCAACTTACAGAGGTTCAACTGTTTATGGAAAATTGAATTTAATTTTAGATGATTCTTTGAAAAGCTGAGCTGAAAAATACATTGTGTCATCTGAAAATCAAAAATTTGAAAATTTCTATATATCAGAACATCAAAGGAAACATATCCCAATTGAGTGAGGAGATACTTTCTGCTTTCAAACATAAATTTTTAGATTGGAATTTAGAAAAAAAATAAAAGTTTAAAAAATGTTTGCTTACAGTAAACACTTTCCTGGCCAATTTCAGAAACAATTTCCTTATGAATCTCCAAAAGCACATTATTTCATAATGAAAATGTTCTCAGATCCCACTGGAGTTTTGGTTAATTGATCATGTTGCGGAATCTTCATAAAGAACCAAGAAAATTGGGCATTTGGAAATTGCACAGAAACAAACTTCAGCACACTTTCAAAAAACCATGAAATAGCCCTAAGCATTTCAGATTAATCCCACTATATTGCCAAACTCCCGTCAATCGAAAAGCGGACCAACTGACACAAACAATTCCATATTGAAGCCTAGAATAGAAAAAAATGCAGAATGAACAATCAATAACTGACAGTTGACAACCATAGTGATTGAAAGGTACTTGCTTGGCCAGTAAGAAACCCATTTCAGCTCCTCATTGATTTTTAATTGTCTTTCCCTCTGGCATCAAATCTCACAAGCATTTTATTTTCTGACATTAATTCCATGTCATTGGGTGAACTGGTTTTTTGTGTATCAATAATTAAAGTGAAAAAATATTCTGCAGAGCATATTGTTATGCAGGAGTTGTTTCAATAGTTGTACCTTTCTAATATTATGAATCATCTTCTCAAAGTTTATCTTTCTTGCGTCAAATATCTCATTCGTATTTCAGTAAGAGCAGTGTAATCTAGATCTCATAAACTAGAAGACTCATCAACCTTGAACCTGAATGACTCAAAATTTATGAGGCCATTTGAGCTATTATTCTGGAGTTATAAATGGGAACCAATGAAATGGAAGAGCAGTAAATTTGTAACTTGATGCTTCTTTTTTTTTTTTTTTTTTTACAAGGAAGAGGGTAATTAATTTGGAAAACGTACTTTTGCTTCTCAGTTCAGCATCCTGTCAACTCATTTACCCAGTTTTTTGACACCCAAAAACCAAGAATTTCTTCCTTCTTGAAATGTTTTACAACATTACCTCATATGAAAATACTGTACCACTTCACTCAACTTGAAAACTCTTTGTCAATTTATTTTTCCCTGTGCTGGTATATGATAGCAGTTGTGCTTCACCATTTTTGTTCTATTTACTACCGATATTGACAAAAGACAACATGGTTTCATTAATTTTGTCCATAGCTATGAAAATTTAAAAAAAAAATGATCAGAAAAGAAACTATCCTACCAGGAACAACCAATCTTACTTCAGAAGTTTACCTTACAAGGCCCCTCCCATCAAAACTGATTTCATCTCTCTATTCTTGTTCCTCGTTGAAAGAAACCCGTTTTGAAAAAATACCCTCCAACCTGACCTCACTCCACTGAACTAAATTCACAGGAAGCCAGGCGCAGCATCATCCGAGTAGTTTGCCAAGCATGGAATAAACAAGAGAAGTTGTTGGGATATGGTGTCAAACACATCATTGTTAGCGTTTTTCCTTCTTTCTTTTTTGTTCTTTGCACCTTATTATAACTGTTTCTTTTTCCGTTTTAAATGTTATGCGTGGCGGACATGGAACGGCCACGTCGACAAGGGAAGCCAGCCGAGCAGGAAACGAGAGGAAAGCCGCCGTTTGTTATCTCACCGCACTTGGCGACGTTCTGGACTGAGAAAATCTTTCCGAGTCTCTTTGAATAACGGGGACAGAAATCATTTCAGGGTATTTGTGTCTAAGGTATTTGAGAAAGAAAAAAATGTTAGAGGACTCCCTTTATACATGGTTAATCTCAAGGGACCAACAAATAAAATCGTTGTAGAGGGAATTTTGTTTTAGATAACGTTTCACAGTGCAGGTGGTGCCCCTCAATTTGAGCCTAATTCTTTGCTGTGTCCTAGGATCAAATTGTTAAGTGGTTAATTTGAGAAGCAATGTCAAATGTAATGTTTTCTATACTGTATTTGATGATTTTGTGCCTCTCTGTGGGTCAAATTGCTGGACAGAGGTCATATTGTGAGTTGACCTCCCTGCAAATTTGACCATCAAATTGTGGGGTGGTCAAATTGCAAGTTATCACCTACATTAGCATGTTCTAGATTTTGAATTTAAGTGCATGTAAAAA